CCCTCCGTCGGGGTCCTGGGGACCGGAGGTGGCGAGGCTGCGGCTTTTGACGGCCGGGCTCGTCTCTCGCAGCTCCACGACTTCGCGCAGCTGAGCGAGAGCACGTACTACGTCTACAACGACATCGAGCACTTCAAGGACGAGCCGCACGCCGTGAGGATCCACTGCGAGGAGGACATCCACGTGACGGAGGAGGTCTACAGGCGGCCCGTCTTCCTGCTGCCCTCCTACAGGTACTGCCAGGAGAAGGACAGTTGACCGACGTGATGTGGCGGGGAGCCCCTCTCCAGAGGTCCCTTTGGGCCGTTCCCCGTAACGAGGGGCTCTTCCCTGTGCCCGGCAGGTACCATCGGCTGCCCAAAAGTGCCCGTGGACGGGGCGCCTCTCGAGGCCCAGTTTGACGCCTTCATCGGTTCCCTCAGGGTAAGGTCCGCGGACGGAGCCCCACCAGCGCCGGCTGGGTTTGCAGCTGCCGAGCACCACGTGCCTCTGTAAAGGGGTGTTTCAGGGGCAGCTGAACCCAAAACACCTAGTCGATGGTTATTTCGGGTTCGGGTTTTCTTTTTTTGGTTCTCTTCAGGCCCGTAGAAGGTTCTCGCTCCCAGCTGAGTTGCACTCATATTTTCTTGGTGCCGCCGTCCTCCCCCAAGGAAGCGGTTTTAGCCTCGGCCTAAGCACCAGGCGGCCGCTCCTGGGGGGTTTTGGCCACGCTCACTTGTCTTTACTCCAATGCAGCGTAGCGGAAGGCCCCGGTGGCCTGTGTTTATCTCAGCTCCTCTCTGCTGAGGTGCGCCGCGGGCGTCCGCTGCGCCGAGACCTTTCTCCGTGCCGTGGAGCGCTCCTGCCCCTGGCCGCAGCCCCGGCTTGTATTTTTCCACTGTTTCCTCTCAGCCCGGTTGGGTTTTTATTTGTATTTCCCGCTGTATGCTAGCGAGGAGGATCTCTGCTTCGCTGCGGGGGACCTAGGCGGCTGCTTCAATTGCTGGAAATGCCCTCTCGGTAGCTTCCCGCCTAGGCTGACCTTGCTCAAGGTGGACTTTTTTCCTTTACTGTTCAAGTCCTTTATAAATAAATAATAACAACCCAACGTGCAGGCATGGTATCGCTGGGTCCCTGCCCTTTTGAGTGAAAACAGAAATCCTTTCCTTGCCAAACAGCCTCCGTCTGGGAAGCGTCAGCTGGAAGTTAGCAGGAGTAGCTGGAGGAGTCGCGGTCTCCTCTGTCTCCCGTGTCCCGCTCCTGGCTTTCCGCCCCGCGTCGGAGGGCGACTGTGCCCGCAGTCGCGTCTCCCGTTCAGACCGCGCGTTGCTGGAGAAACGTGTGTCCTTGTCCAGCTGTTTGCCCCTGCCCCTCGCTGGAGGTGGCTGTCCCTTGCCGTCTGGGCGTCGCTGCTCCCGTGGCTGCTCCCTAAACCGGCTCAGCAGAAACCATCCAGGTTTGCGGCGAACTCTTTTGGTGGCAGGAATTGATTTTTGGTTTTTGTAGCCTGGCTCTTCTGTCTCAGCCGCCTTGGGGACGGCGGGAACGGTGATACGGGCGGATCGGTGCTCGGGATCATCCCCAGCAGGGTTGGCCGCTGATCCCCTCGCCCGGGGGGCCGTGGCTGGGGCAGGGCGCACGTGGCCAGGGCACGCGGGTCCCCCCGTTTCTCCACCTCTCCGCAACCCCGCGGTGATGCCACCTCGGTGCCGGCCTTTGCGGTAGCCCGTCAGGATCCCCTTGCCGCTGCGAGGGGTTGCGCGGTGCTCCTGTGAAGGGTGCCCCGGCGCAGCACGCTTGCATCTCCTCTCCCTAGGAGAGCCCGAACCTGCTGCTTCTCCGCGACCCCGGCAGACCCCCGCCGGCTCTGCTCTTCAGCTGCCAGACTGGCGTCGGCAGGACCAACCTGGCCATGGCCATGGGCACGCTCGTCCTCCTCCACCACAAGGGAGCAACGCAGAAACCAGAGTAAGCGGGACAGCTCTCCTGGGGCGAGAGGTGCCCCACAGTGTCCTCCAGCCTGGACCTCCTCCTCCCTTGGAGCTCAATCCGGTCCATCACCCGCCGGTGGCCTGAGACGAAGGGGAGATGGGGGGCATTTGTGGGGAGGATGCCCAGAGCCTCCTGCTGCAGCAGTGCAGCACGTCCGTGCATTTAGTTGACCCGTACGGTGCTGCAGTGAGGATCCAGGCTAAGTGGTCCTCTTGCCTTACGTGCTGCGAAACGAGGAGAAAAGTGGAACATCTCTGGTTGCCCTGGCCCTTGCCTTGAAGCAGGTGAAGAGCTGCCTGGATGAAAGGAGCCGTGGTAGCGGGCTTGGCCTGGGTAGGAGATGTGCCGCTGGAGCGAGCGGTGCGCGCTTCAAGGAAGGGCAGTTTCCTTCTGAACTCTGGGATGACCCAAATGTGAAAGGAGGGTGGAGGAGGGAAGAGATGATGGCTCAAGTCCTGTCGCTCACAGTTTGATCTTCTTTCTCTTCTTCCCCAACTGTAGCCTCCCCCATCCAGCTAAAACCTCTCCGAGGGAGAGGTTTCGGGTTATTCAAAACTTCGTTGAGATGGTACCGAAAGGCCAACAGATAGTTGAGGAGGTAAGTGGGTGTCTGTAAAACCCGTGGCAAGCGCGGGACTGCTCTCGGCCCCTGATGTGGCTGAATCGCCCCAAAAGACCGGGCTGCTCGAGGAGAGGGCTATGGGATGGGAGAAGGGGCGAGGGAAAGGGCAGCGGGGAGAGGGTGAAACCTGGCTCCCCCGCCTGCCAGGGATCCAGTGACCGCATTTCCTCTTGGTCCTTGCAAGGTGGACAGCGCTATTGCCTTCTGCTCGGAGATGCACGACATGAAGGAAGCTATCTACGAGTACAAGAAGAAGCTGGAAGGGATCGGAGAAGACTACCAGATCCAGGTACGGCGGGGAGGCACGCTCGGGGGCTCACGCCGAGGAGCAGTGCCGGGAGCGGAGGCACGTCTTCGGGAGGCACAGCAGCGAACCAGGGCGCGGGAAGATTAGCGTCTCCCCTCTCTAAACCGTGGCAGCTGTCTGGCGAGGAAAGGTGCCAGGCGGGTGGCAAAGATGCTCTTGCTTTGACAAATAAACCGGGCTGGGGCCCTGGGTAAAGGTCCGTTGCGGGCGGAATTGCTCTCATTGGTGCCGAAAGTTGTCTGGGAATCGCGGCGGTCTGCGAGGCGGTGGGGAGAGGTCTGGCCGGTGAGTGCCCTCCGCCACGGCCAGGAGGAGCGAGTTGCAAAGCGCAGCTTCCCTTTGAAAAAGCGCCGAGGAAAGAGCGCGTTTGTATGCGGCTCTTGGGCTTCCCGGGAGGCGGCAGGCTCCGTGCTGCTGACTTTAGTGACCCAAATAAAACGCCTATTGTGTTTTCTTTTGCTTCTTTTTATCTATTTTTGTCCTCCTTTCTCCAGCCAGACAAGGCGGTGAGAAAGGCGGCGGAGCCTCTCCGCCGTGCGCGCTGTCGCGTAGTCGGCCCCGCTGCCGGGCTGACGCGTGCTGGTTCCCGCGGGAGGTGTCGGGAAAGCAGCACGAGCCGCCCCGAGTTTCAGAGTTTTTCAGGACGGTGATTTCTAGAAATGTTTTCGCGAGCAAATAATCAGAATGTAAATTATGGAAATCCAAAACTTCCTGTGATCTGGAAACTTCCCAAGGACGTGAAAAGCTGGGCGGCCACGCTGCTTGTCCTTTTTTTTCAATCGTTTACAGAAAGGGAGACCATCAAACTGAACAGACTGGGATTTGGGGGAAACCTGGCCTTTTCCGGCTTTGTCACCGCTTTTGGTAAACAACCTGGGGGGCAGACGTCCTTGTGCCTCCGCCGTGGGCGGCCGGTGCAAGCCCTGGGGCTTTCGCGGCGAGCAGGTTAGCAGTACTTTTGGCCACGGCTGGGCACGGTGAGGTTGCAACGCGCCGACCCAGGCACAGATTGCTGCCGCCGGGGCGGCAGGCTGTTGCAAACCTGTCC